TGGTTTTGTCATAAAAGAATTATAGAAAGTATCTCTGATATTATTTATGTTTCATATTGAAAGTAGGTAATGTAATTTCTAAGCAGTGGGTCATTATCATTTAAAATTGCTCAGAAGATAGGGTTTTAACTGCTGAGATTTTTTCTTTGAAAAATGATAGCTGTTATTTAATGCTTAAAGATAAATTGCTGCATAACTGTGACTTTTTTTGCTGCCAACTTGACACTAAACAAGCTTAGTTAATATGAACAAGAAGTTTCAAAATTAATTTAGTAAGGGAGAAAATCTGAGCTAGAATGCCCATACATACACTCAGCCAGATAAACTAAGAGTAATCAAGTTTAGTTTCCAATCTACCCTCAAAGGACAATTCAATCAGATGCAAACATCTAAGGAAGTTCAAGTTAACCCTTTAGAAAGTTCCTCACTGGCTATTGGCTATACCATAAGTATTATACCACAGGTGGTTTTGAAAGGTACAAGCACTGCCAATCTCAAGTGTAGGCTTTAGAAGGTAAGCTGAGAAGTATCTCTCTGAAGTGTCCAGTATCCCGCTCCGTGCTCACCACTGAACTCCGGGGGGTACCTTGAGTGTCTAACAGGCAACTCAGCTTTAACAGAACCATAATCCCTAATCAGCCTCAATGAGCAAAACCCATACCTGCTCCACTCCCAGGGTTTGGTTTTTTTTTTGTTTTTTTTTTTTACTTACCAACACAGTCATCCCATCAACCCTAGCTGTTGTCCTTGACCTCTCTTTCCAACATCTCAATTGGAAATTGATCACCAATTTGTGATGGTCTTACTTCCCATATTTATCTAAACCTCTCCACTTCTCACATTCTCCATTCTTTTTATTCTAGCTCTAATCACCACAATCTTCTGCCTGCATCACATTCTTCTATTCTTGCTCTTCAGCGTTCATTTTACATAGTGACACCAACATTGTTTTTATAAAACATTAATTAACTCGTATCACCCTCTGCCCATGGTCATTAATGGTTTCCCACCAAACTGGGGATAAATCTAACCCCCCTATGAGACCTCCTTCAATTCAGTTTATAGTTATCTCTCCCCTTGACTTATTCTGTTCCAGCCGGCTTTGTTTGTTCTCAGAATACAATAAACTTATCCATGTGGTGAGTCCTTTGAATTGATTATTTCCTCTGCCCCAAACACCATTCTTCCAGATTTTCCTGTGATTCCTTTCTTCCTTTCTATGATTCCTCATTCAGGATCAACCCAAATATACCCTTCTGAGTGGCCTCCACTAGCACAATCTTCTTAAGTACTTTTCTTGACTTCCTCCCGTTTTGATTTTCGTATATTTGTCAGCTGCATTTATTGTATGTGCTTGTTTACTTCCCCTTAGAACGAAACTCCATGAGAGCAGGGTTGGGTCTAATGTGTTTACCTCTTTAGCCTCAGTGCCTTGTGCAAAACCAAGCCCACAGTAGGAACTCAATGAGTGTTGGTTGAATATTTTGAATAAATTAATGATTAGGACATTTAAAAATGGCTTTACAAAGTAAAATTCCTATCAACTGGTCTGCTGACTCTAATTTAAAGGTAGCAGGGGAGAAATGCAGTGTAGCTCAACAGCAAGCTAAAAGAAAAGTATTTGGGAGCTAATGCATGGAGACATTTTTTGCTAAAATAATATGACTGGCTTATTTCCACATAAGGAAAAAATGGACAACAGAATCACTCACTTATGCCTGTGATGGGAGATGGCATTTTCAAAGCACACCATTAACAAATGCACTTGATAACCATTAGAGCAAAAAATAAACTCATTTTTTAACCCAAACACAAATATGTAAACATCTAAACCTTCAGATGACATTCTAAAATATGTTCCAACTTCCACTCCCTGGTCACACACTTATGCCCAATTAATAAATTCCCACTTATAAAAGACCATTTTCTGAACCTTCTCAGACCTGTGGTGAGTGCTTTGAACTACCCCTTGATGTAGACAGCACGAGAGCCACTCCTTCCAGGGGACACACATTATCAGCAGTCAGAAGTCTGGTAAAAACAAAAATTTATCTTCACCTCCATAAGATCTGGCTGAGAGGAAAACATGTTCTAAGATAGGAAAGGTACCTATTTTAGTGATACTCACACAAAAATATGACTTTCTGCTATCTTCTATAAAAATCTAAACTTGAATCAGATTATCTTAGGGGACTTTGTTTGAAAAGATAAACCTCCAAGGTCCCATTTTTATCTGATATTTTCTTGTGACCCTGTAATGAAACTTAAGCATGAATCATTGGAGATCTCTACACCAATGTAAAGTTAAAACAACAGGACAGCATTTAACACAGAAGCTTTAAAAAAATTGGGGTTATTCCCCCCACCCCCCCCATCATCTTGAAAAAGAGGTGGCTTTGGAGCCTGTGGAACAAGCAAGGGGGAGTATTATGCTGGATGGGAGACAATGCCAGTGAGCCCTCCTCCTGAGAGTTGTTACAGACCCTCTACTTGGGGTATTTACCTATTTCTTTGTGAACATGCCTCCTGATGTCATATCCGCTTCCCTCTAGAGCAGCTCCATCCTCACCACCCATCATGGGGGTCCCCATATGTTTTCATCATGTAATATGTTCCATAAGAACAGGTGGAATGCACACCCACTTGACACATATGTTTCTGCATTTCAAAACTCTATGCATGTGCCATTGAGCAGTTACATATTGCATACAGGTTCCCACAACTAAAAAAAGTTAACAGAGGGAGAAGGAATAAATATACACCAGAAGTTCTCTTTTTTCCTTCCTGCCCTCCCATGGATCAGCCTGTGCTCTCTCTGGAGACCACTAAGAATTTACTGGGTCTTACTCAATGAGAGGAGCAGATTACATTCATCTCTTTTGTTTTTTATGATCAACTTTGTATTCATGTTTTCAAATAGCCTTGATCTACAGACTCTACTATATTGCATGATGCTGTGGGGTACCCCCTAGACCAAGGCAATCCTTCCTTCAGCTCAGGTAATATGATTGGCTGCTGATGACTCAGAGCTGAGTTCACATACTTCTACCTCCTTCCACTCCAGTAACCCACATCCAATGACTGGTCAGTTGGGGGAATAAAGACCCACTTCCTTGTCTCAGTTTCAGACAATCTGAAAGGACCCTTCCAGCTGCACAGTTCCTATTGGGTTCAGACGAGGCTTCTGTGCTAGTTACAGTACAGTTAGTTGCTCCCTCTGCACAGTCCTACTTCCTCCAGTCCCTTACTGATTGTGAGGGCACTCTGCCATGAAGCTCCCGTACACAAAGTCGCACCCCAGAATCCCTTTCCTGGGAACCCCAACAATGACACTGACACATCAGTGCATGTTTAGAAATCTAGTTAGCTTATATGGCAAGTTCCCAATAGATTGGTTATTGAGCCACTAGAAGCTCAAGAATGAATGTAATGTTCTAATTTTTCTTGAAACCTCATTAGGTTCTCACTGAGTCAAGGTTAATGTCAACTAGAGCTCCTGTTTTTCATATTAAGACGCAGCAAGATTCCCGAAAGTTGGCAGGAAGAGTGACCTCCCTCCTTCTGAGTGACCGAGTGACATTCACTGAGGAACTCCATGTGATTGCTTCTGAGGACAACAGGCTTTCTCTTTGCTGACCTCAGCCGTGCTGCCTCACTCTCTGGTCCAGGTCCTACTATTCACTGTGCCCCACGCTCTTCACTGTCACTTAGCTCTGGACCCAATCCCAACACTAATCACTTTCAAGAAATGTCTCAGGACTGGGCAGCATGAGGCAGGTACTTACTTTATACCTTGGAGGTTTCTCTCTGCGGGAATTGGTTTAATTCACCAGAGGCCGTGAGGTTTAACTCACTAATAGTTGTGACACCATTTTTTTCTTACATTTTTCTCAATGTAAGTTACTTTTGGTTCTGCCTCCCAGGTGAGAGCTCTATCTTCCTAAAGTAATGGTAACAGAATAAAGAAGGACGTCATCATTGCCACCTGGGAGGGAGAAATCTATGGTTTTGGACACAGGTCGCATGCCCTGCTTACATGAATTTGCTCAGGATACAGAGACCCTCGTAGAAATAGAATCCTGAGAACTGGCTCCACAGCAACTTAAGTGTTGCAGAAAAATTATGGGAAGCATACCAACGGCTCTAGAATCCTTCAATATCAATAAAAATGCTGTACTATGTTTAAGTACACTTTCCAACAAATAATCACATAATACTAGAAATAAGTATCAACCAGTTGCTTAGAAAAAATATGCACATATAAATTGTTACATAAAGACCAATAACTAAAAAATAGTCCTTCTTACCTGAAACTCCAATAGATGCAGAATGGAGGGTGGTCTTTGTAACTTATATCATAATCTTTGTTTTTGGTTCATAGAATAGTTCAATAAAATATTTTTGACAGATATTTGCATACTTCCCATGCCATGTACTAAAACCGGCAGTAAAAACTCACTTGACTAGATGACATTATGTGTAAAACGGGAGTATTTCATACACAATTAGATTACCAGATAACATGTAAAATGCAATATAGAAAATAAATATAAGAAATGCATATTATACATTTATGACTTTTGTTGAAAATGCAGCAAAAACCTTAATAGAAAGGCTCAGAGGCTTACCTGAATGGTGAATTTGGCATCTTCCACATATTCTGCTATGTGTTTTCTCTAATGGTCAGTAGCTCTCCTGTCTAAAGTTTATTATTAGGGATGAAGCTCATCCTGAGATTCTCCTTATTTATTGAAATCAGGAGGCTATGGCTTCTTGTCACAGATACAGGTTGCCTAGCCATTAAAATACTGATGAACATTGACTTTATATAAAAAATCACTCAATCAAATATTTCCGAAACCCTAAATGCAAGAAGTTATTCCAATACTCAGCTTGAGGTAGGACTATCAGATAGCATTAACAAATTTAGCACATATAATGGAAAACACCCATTTCTTACTTACTACTGAGTACACCAATAAAAGATGACAGGCACTTACCTGAATAACATGCTTCAGTTTATCAATGATCTGATTTATCACAGGATCAGTGCCTTTGACTTTGACTTCAGGATTGCCAGATTGGGCTTTGATTCCATTTCCAACCACACGCTGAGTATAACTAACAAAGTGAACAGTGAAAGATATATGACTTAGTAACCTGGTCAGAGTATTATTTGCTACAACTATTTGAACAGATTTGAGTTCAGATTCACTCCTTAAAGAGTCTACAACACTGTAATTTTGTTTCTTGAAACAGAAACTGGAAGAGCTACAGTGTTTTTTTTCTGGACAAATGCTCAAGACAAAAATATAAATTATTCTCATGTTATACTGCCAAAGGACCCAACCCAAAATTAATTGTGCTTTTTAATACTACTTACCAATATGCTAGAAAAAAGTTAATATACATCTCACTTTGTTACCAATTCTTGCCAAATTACACATATGTCTTAGTTCAAATTATCTGGGTTAACATTTACTCATTTTACACAATATATAGATAAGTCCCAATAATATTTTTTACATGTTGCACTATAAAAGAACTATAAATGTATGTTAACTGCATAAGTTAAAATCACGATTATTATAAGGAAGCAAATAAAACCTGCACATTAATTTGCAAATAGAGAAAGTACAATCTGCTTTCACCAAGGTTCACTGAACAAGGTCAACAAGAGTCTAGTAAAACATGTGTAAAAAGGTGATTTCACAGGCAGTAAAAAGTCATTGTAAGTCACTACCCTCCCAAAATGACGATCATATAATGTCAGCTTAGTATTCACTCACATATTTAGACTCATTAGATTAAGTGCTTCCTACAATATTTAAATCCTGTACAGTGACTGGGATTATGAGAAGATATAAGACTCAATTCTTGATCTAAAAATGCTAATTAGCTACCTGGGAATATTATGTATCAATTAACTTGTCTATTCATACATTCATTCATTCATTACATTTTACTATATTTTTAAAATACCTACTAGATTCCAGTGGTATAATTATCCTTATTTTCCTGACAGGCTGGTGTAGCATAAAGACAAGGGAAACAGCTAAAGCGCAACACAAGGAATAACTGAGATGTCTGGTGTGCCAGGGGATAGCGAGAAGGAATAGCATATGCCAAGTGACAGGTAGGGATAACACAGGTAGTAGACATTGAGCATATGGGGAAGTCTATTTGGACTAAGACAACTCGGGAGAAAACTAAAAAAGGGCTTTGAGGTAGCCCTTGAAGTAATGCAGTAAGAATAGGTCTTAGGTGGTATAGTTAATGCGGACTCCAGGGAAAAGGAAGATATCTCATAATGCAATAGTGGTAGATAAACACCAGAGTGACTTAAATGGAAAAGACAGGTGATACCAAGCACTAACATGGATGTGGAGTGACTAGAACTCTCTCTCTTTGTGGTTGAAATATAAGCAGATCCAAACCACCGTTTGACAGGTATGCTGAAGCTGAACATATCTTATGACCTCAGATATATACTCAATAGGCGTAAGAATGCTCAGAAAGGTATTATTCATTAATAGCCCCAAACTGGCTACAACCCAAATGTCCATAAGCATTAGCACTGACAAGTAAATGTCAGAATATTTCTATAACGATGTACTATATTCCAATAAGATTGAATGAATTCCAACTATACTAAAAATCTTGTAAGTTAAATGTTGAATGAAAGAAGCAGTGTATGGAACAAACTATGATTCTACTTATAAGAAGTTTAGCCCTGGCTGGTGTAGCTCAGTGGATTGAGCACGGGCCTGCGAACCACACGATCGCAGTTCGATTCCCAGTCAGGGCACATGCCTGGGTTGCAGGCCGGTTCCCTGCAGGCCAGTTCCCAGCAGGGGACGCACAAAAGGCAACCATACATTGATGTTTCTCTCCCTCTCTCCTTCCCCCCTTCCCCTCTAAAGATAAATAAATAATAAAATATTTTTATTAAAAAAAAAGAAGTTTAAAGATGAATCCATGATACTTCAAGTCACCCTAAGTACTATTCTAGGAGAGAGTACCTAGAAAGTTAAAGGGAGTTTTTGGAATTCTAGTAATAGCCTTCTTGATTTGGGCCCTCATTATACAAAAGTGCTCATTTTATGCTTTTAAAGGTAAAAAACTGAACTGGGGAGTTAAGATTTGCATACTTTACAGTCTGCAGGTATTTTTAACCTAAATAAAACATTAAAACTTCTTGTGCTCTTTTTCTTAATATGTATACAACACACAAATTTTCACTGAGCTATGTATAAATAAAAGATCCACATAGGTATTTTTAACATGGGCTAAATGGTTTTGCCATTACTAAATGAGTAATTCAGGATCCCAGCTTGATATAAAAACTTACTCCCTGCAGACTTCAATTTGCATGCAAAACATATGGTTTCTAAATCAAATAAAAATTTTTCTAACAAAGACTTCTTATTTGAGTTTTTCATTATGAAATTTTAATAAATCATTAATCACTCTTTTTGCTCCTAAGTGAACAAGTAATGGATAAAACATTTCAAGGATCCCTACGGAGGTTTCTTGACTTGAAAAATTGCTCACATTTCCATGAGAAGGAGGGAACAAAACACACAAAAAAGAGAGGGGCCAATTTTTTTTTTAGGGAAGTAATAGACCTACCATCTGTGCTTATTTCTTCTAAGCAGGTCTGGTAATGGATGACAGCATTTTAATAGGAGTACTCACTCCCCAAGTAGGACTCATTTTTCATTAACAGGGGTAAAAGGCAAGCACTGATATATTTACATTCTATAAAAATATTGTAAAATGATGATTAACAAGATTTCAGGTCCCTTTGTCTTCCACATATGAAATATTAAAAAGGAGTGCTAATACATAATCTACACACAGCATGCTACTTAGAAAGTCATTTGTCTTGACTTTACCAACGTTGCTTGTTTGAAACTCATGCTTATACCATATTGGCTGATACTAAAACACTTTCTTTGGAAGGCAATAGAATTTGTTTCAGAATCACAGCAAAAGTGTGTTGTCTTGATATGCATTTACACCATTTCAGGTGAAAAAAATCTGAAATCCAACTCAAAAATTCACGACAAATTATTACAAGTGGTATGTCCTAGAAGTCGTGGGTCAGTTTGCTGGGATAGGATGTAAGCACATGATAAGGAGAAGCAGGGACCACCTGAGCACAGCTCTTTGTATCACCATCACCATCTTTGTTACAGGTCGAAGACGAGACTGAAGACCTGGTTGTTGGCGATGATAGTAGATGTTTTGTTTATTAGTTTTTATATGACTTAGATTAGGTGACTATATAATAAAATTTCTATTTCCAGTGTTTTGAGTCTCCTAATTTCTTGGAGCGAAAACACTGGGGTGTCTTTGGCTGTGGTAGATGCGTTGTGGTCTCAGGTCAACAGGAAGCCTGGGCTGTACACGTTATGTGCTCATCAGTGATCCTCTTCTTCAAGAACAAATTTTCCTCTGAAACCGTTTCTGGGCCTCCCTACTGGTTCTGGCAGCAAAGGTGAATGTGATTATGAAGAGATGTTTTTTGTAAATTTCCTCAAGTACTTGGGTGACAGCGGATACCACTGCTAAATGTTGCTTTGTGTTCATGCAGCCTCCATATAGCACATTTTCTCTATGGGACAAGTCTTCATCTTTGAGACCTCAGAACCAAAAGAAGTTACTTGGTTGATTTTATGAGCCATGTTTATGGGAATAAACTTTCAGGTGGGTAAGAGTCTTACAGAGTGTTTAAAAAATGAAAACATCTATAGAATCAATTCAAAATGATTAACCCTTTTGTAATAGCTTTATCTCAGTTCAATCACTGAGCCACAAGCTATTTTTAAGTTAATCTGTACCATTTTATTGGCTTTATAATTATAGGCAAATAATATTTAAATTAGAGATCTGTGTTTCTAAATTTATGTAATGATGTAACAATTAACAGAATAAATATTTTATTGTCATCTTTATTATTATTTACATATAACTAACTTCCTTCTAAAGATATCATATTTTGTGTTTTCTTATAGGTAACACTAATATTATTTTAATAAGGTAATATTATGTTTATTTAGAAATCAATACAATCACTATGGTAAATCAAATGAAAACATGTTAGGATGAGACAGAAAATATGAGCTTATTAAAGAATGGCATTAATTCATCTTCGTCCTAATTCTTTCATTGATGAGGCAAGTATTTGTAGGTGTGAGCTTAGCCAGGTGGGTCACAGGTAACCTATTTGATACCATTTTATAAGATAAACACCTTAATTACAGCAAAAGCTCTCTCTTTATAGTGTTCAACTTTTGAATTGAAAATTCAAAGCAAGTGGTAATAAACCTTTGGTTTATTTTATAATGAGCTTCATTTGATTCAAAGCAAGTATGAAATTTTACATAATCACTTCTAATTATAATCAATTGCATATACTATTATATGGGTTTTGAAATATTATACTAGTTCCCATTTTCCAAGGCACACATTCCAAATTGAAGCCTTCTCACTAAGATACAGGCTATTATTCATGAATTTATGATGATTGGCAATCACCACTCTGCACCCATTTTCTGTCTCACTTTGCTGTTTGATTTCAATATAAAAAAGTAAAGCGTAATTTAGGGAATAACTATTACCTGAGTATTAATAAATTAAATATTATTTGAGCCAATAAAACTGAGTCAAAATGATTTTGCATATAAATTACATTGAACTAACCTCTTATTAGACATATTATTAAACACTATAAGCTCCTAGAATCTTATACAGGCATTTTTTAATTTTAAAAACATAATTGATGGCAACATTAATTAAATTTCAGATATAAAACTACCACCTGCATTACAAATAACTTAAAATTAATTGCAAGGTACAATAATTCTAAGATTACCAACATACCATCCAACTGAAACACTCAAGTACTTTCTACCAATACATGATGTAAAATCAGAGAGAAAAAAACCTCTGACTTCAGAGTGTGCTAATTTCCTAGGGATACTGTACACTACTCATTATGCCACGTATTGGAAAGAAATTAGAAGCTGCCTGAATTTTCCCATGATCAGTAAACTTTACATGTAAATCGTTCTCGGAGTCATATTTTTCTCTCAAACATTATTTACTGTAAAGTA